AAGGCGGCGTAGTAGTCCCGCAGCACAGTGAGTGCCGAGCGAACACCTCGCAGAATGGGAAAAGCAGGGCCGTTGGGAGAGGAGCGTATGACCAGCGAATTGTCAGAGCTACCAGCATTCCTGTTTTCATGGTAACATGAATATAGTGACAACAAGAAGAATGCCGACAAATACCAGTAGCAAACCAAAATGACTGCAATGGCAATCCGAATACACATATTGCTAGAAAGTACAGCAGTCGTATGCGCCATTGCTCGTGGCAGTGCCACGTCTGTGGGCCTGCTTCCAGCGCGCCTGCGACGAAGGACCCTCTCCCCACACCCTAAAGCCCCAAAAGTCCTGAAACCCTGAGCCCTGAAGCCCTAAAAGTCCTGAAACCCTGAACCCGAAAGCCCTAAAAGTCCTGAAACCCTGAGCCCGAAAGCAGCCCCCTGCACGAAAAGGCCCGAAGAGTCCCTAAGACCCGGTGCCTTCCAGGCCGGCCTCCAGGTCCTCTCAAGGAGACATGGCTTTTGGGGTTGTTGGGTTTAGGGTTTTGGGTTTTTGGGTTTTTGGGCTTAGGGTTTAGGGTTTAGCGGTTTAGGGTTTTTGGGTTTTTGGTCTTAGGGTTTAGGGTTGTTGGGTTTAGGTTTTTGGGCTTTTGGGCTCAGGGTTTAGGGTTTTGGGTTTGGGGTTTAGGGTTTTTGGGATTAGGGTTTTAGGGTTTTGGTTTAGGGTTTAGGGTTTAGGGTTTAGGGTTTTTGGTGTCTAACATACTAGAGTACATAATATATGACATGTACTATATATAGCATCTGATATATGTGTGTCATCTACGAGATTGATAATATGGCACATAATATATAACATATGCTATATAACATATCAGATGACTTATAGAATACATAGTACTTCATGTCAGTATTTAAGAATTTGAGATATCTACATGTATCAGATGCTATATGTTTCTTATTGTTCCCACAGACAGTAACTACGTTGAGGGAGTCAGGGCTCAGGGCTTCAGGGTTTTAGGCCTTTTGGGGGTTAGGTTGTCAGCATAATCTTCTTCCCATGCGGCAGAAAAACGTCTTCTGTCCAGCGAGCATCATCAGTATGACAGTATGATCATAACGTACTGTTCGTCTTCCTAATCTTCCTCATCGCGTTCCTCGTTCCGTGTGGGTTTCAAGGTTATTGCCGTCAAATTGCTGCTAGTACTGTGGTGGCCATTCCGATCATCGTCACTGCCACTGCGGAGATGTTGACTCATCGATGTTGGCGCATCATTCCGTCTCCTCTGCATCCCGAAGTCAAAACCATCCTCCACCCAGAGAGCTACCATCGGGGACTGTCTTGGCACTTAGGCCGTTCAAGATGCATCGCCCAGAGGTCCTCCTTCTGCTTCTTGAAGGCGGTGCCTTCGAGGACAAACCCAAGGGGGAACTGAGCGTGGGATGTGAAGCTGCTCTAAAACCGTGACACCTTCGACCAGACTCGTTCCAAGCACCCCCTTTTGGCATTGCACACTGCGGGTCAGAGCACCAGGGGGGGTCCGATCTCAGAACTCGCAACTGGAGGTGGCTCTACATTCTGCCCTGTAAGCTCCGCTGTGGCGGGTGCGCTGAGTCAAAAGAGAAAAAGGCTTCAACGATGCTGAGCTCCCCGCTCTCCTCCTTGCGAGTCTCGTCCATCTCAATCTGCAAGCATAGCGGGTAAAAGCGGCAGGCGATGCAAGAGCCGGGCACGGCGCAAGGTCGAATCTGAAACCCAAAAGACAGAAACCGCCAGAGAGCTCTCAAAACGACAACGCCCACAAGCAGGAGAAGGGAAATCTGCAGATTTAACGATTTACCAATCGCCAAAGCCTGCAACTGGGCGAGCTCGGCAAGCTCCCGTTGCAGCGTGGCCGCCTCGCCTGCGATCGCATCAAGATTAAGCATCGACTAAAGGATCTTGTGGCTGCTCAACCAGATTCTAACAAGCTTTGATGTCCTTGCTGATTTTCGGAAGTGCTCAGACGTGTCGAAGCAAAGGGCGAGATGTCCCAAAAAAACGTTAACACCAAGTCTTCAGTACAAGCTTTCCTGATCTTCAGACACGCAGAGTCCATCACGAGTCAGCAGATGCAGCAAAAGTGCACGCATGTCTAACCACCAAGACCGTTCGGAATGCCACGGAAAACGATACAGAAGCATAGTCTCGACAGTACACGGTGGAATCTTTCCGCTGCAGTTGAGGGGACGCTGGCACCACGGCTAAGGTCGGGGCTCTTCAGAGTCTCGGACTCAGAGGATTTCTTGTCAACCTTCCATTAGATGTATTTTGCTGAGGCCGTCTGGCGAGCGCTCTTCGGCCTTGGCCGACAGCTTCTCCTTGGTGCTGGTGAGGTCGTCCACCTTCTCCTGGCGCTTCATCGCATGGCCAGCGCACAAGTGGCATCAGCTACTGCCATGGGCCTTCGTCTTGGCCTTCTCCTCATCGCAATAAGCCTTCTTTGTCTGGTCGGCTGCAGCCTGACAAAATGCTCTTACTGAGGCAAACCACACTACATCGGACGCGAAGCAGAAAACCCACTCCCCTAGCAGGTGCCTCCTCCTTGCGGCTGTCAATCATGTTCTGGATGAGTTCCTTGACCTGTCGGGGCTTCGGCAAGTTAGATCAAGTGGAAGCTGAAGGCCGGGACCTTGCCCGTTTCCGAAGCGGTTAGGACCGCAGAAGGAACAGTAGCGGAGCCAGGAAAGAAGCTCTAGCCGGCCTTGGCGAAGACGTCTTCGGACTGGCCTGGACTGCAGCTGCCCCAAATGCCCCCCCTGTGCTCCAGGAAATTGAGCTTTGTGTCCTACTCGCTTCGTCCTCGTCTTACAACGGCATTCGAGGCGGGCACGTGTCTGCAAGAGCGACTCGATGTTGGAGGCCAACGTCTCCAAGCCACTGGACTGGGACTGGCAGCGGCGACGAGGGGTTATGGTGATTTAAATTGACACGCTTCACCACCACTGCCATGCTAGCGGCTGGGACGATGATCATCATCATCATCATCATGATCATGATCATGATGATGGCGACGATGATTAGCTCTGTCTTCTTATTGTTCATCATCTTCATTTTCATCTTCCTCATCATAAACATAATGAAGCTTAAACGCAAAACCATGACGAGGAGGACGCCTCTGGTGGTGCCAGTGTCGGTGCCGGTGCTGGTGTTGGTGTGGGGCATGTCAAACTGACTTGCTGTTGCGTCGCATCCAAGAGTGACCTCGTTCGTAAGACCTACATTGGCTGACGGCGGTCGTACATTCTCTTGTGCATGTTCTCAATCGCCGCCTGAAAAAGCAACTGACTTTCGATACGACGAAAGTAGATGCAGGTGCCGAAGCTCCACTCCGACGGTCATGGTGCACCGTTACTTTCCTATTCTGATACCGAGCCACGCATTTGTGACCCCATCCAGACTAGCTCCAAAGCTTTACTAGTGCGCCTAGGAGCACGAGTGCCGCACCCCTGCACCTTCTGAAGAATTCAATCAAGGTTACGCAGAAAGGAACCCTGGTAAAGAAAAAGTTCACAGATTCGACCAATACAGGAAAAGGAAACTAAAAAGCAGTGCGAAAAAAAGCTGGCATTGAAAAGCAATTGGCGCATCACGTGAGGACAGATAGGTCATCGAGGGCAAGAAGAAGAGTTACTCGCATGTACACCAGCAGGCATAAACACCTGCTTGTAGCAAGGGAAAACCAGGGCGTGAAACCACCAAATGTAACCCCCTGCCTTCTTAGCCAGTGTGCGCACCATCTTGACGACCTCAAAGCTCCTGCAGCTGCTCTACAGGGTGCCACAGGAGCAACACAAGCACTAGGACACTAGGATTCTCCAACTCACGGTGCTACTCCGCATCTCCTGATGTCAGGCTGAGAGCTGTTGGATCGAGTCTGGCCTGAGATGCGAGACCAATCTGCGAGTCAGCGGAGGCGGGCGGGACTTCTGTGCGAATCGGAAGACTAGATGTACTGCAGCTTATGTGGCACCTGGGACACCTGCTGTGCTCGTTCACCTGCCGTCGAACAGACGGGCGGCCGATTTGAGACTCCGACAAACAGGCACCAAAGCGCACGCCTTCCTAGCAAGTCAAAACAGACCTGCAGTACTGAATCCGGGCGCCTGCAGAAACATGGTCTTGTAGACACTCGCCTGGAAAATGAGCACCGAGCTCAGCAGTGCTTCAGCCGACAACACGATTCATGCTTCCCAGAAGAAGAAACCTTCACAACATGATTCGTGTTCATTTCAGGAGCTGGCGTCTGGTCTTATCCAGATACGGGTCGCCGGTTGGAGTCTCAGGTTTGGAGCAGAGCTGCAGGGAGCACTCCCAAGAGAATTCCCGGAAGATGGCCAGCTCAGTTCGCTTGGGTGCTCAACCCTAAACCCCAAAGCCTCAACCCTAAAACCGACTTCCCAAGCTTCAGAAGCCGGGCCTGGGCATTGCCCGTCTTCTCGGCCAGAACCTCCTCCGCTTTCTTCAGGGCCTCAGGAGCTCAAGGGTTCAGTAGGATGTACGTACATGAAGATGCCATGCCGATCTAAACAGGCGAAGAGATAAACATATGCATAATATACACAATACAAATACAAACACTGACACATTCATATACCTATGCATATACAAACACAAGCACAAAAACAAGCACAAAAGCATAAATACAAAAGCAAATGCAAACACAGATAATTGTGCGTGTACATACACAAATAAATATATATATATACATAGATAGATATATATATATATATACGTATATGTACATATATGTCTATATGTAGTATGTATCATGTGTGTACATCCCATGCAAAACCACGCAGAATCGGGGGCGTTTTCTTCTGTTGGCCTCCAGCTCTTCGGCGCGGCTCGCCTTGGACTCCTTGGGACCCGGAGGGGCTTTTCGCTCAGGGCTTTGGGGCTTTGTAGGGGTTTGGGGTTTAGGGTTTAGGGTTTTGGGATTTAGGGTTTAGGGTTTTAGTGGTTTTGGGGTTCGGGGTTTGGGCTTTCAGGGTTCGGGAGTCTTGCTGGGGCTTTGTGGGAGCTCCTCGAAGTCGGCAGTCGCCTGCGAGCAGCTCGCCTCAGCTTCAAAGCCAAAACACAGCTGCGCTGATCTGCCGGAAGAAACACAGCCGAGGTGAGGTTTGCTAGCGAAGACTCAAAGGCCACGGGACCTCCAGCTTCTGAAGGGACGCCTTGTCGTTGGCAAGGTCCTGACTTGGAGCTTTCTTGAGTTGGAGCGAATCGCGGTCTTGGGACGCACAAAGGAGGCCAGAGCAAGCCAGCCGCGGCCCAAGAATGCCAGAAGCAAGACCTATCAATGAATTTTATATGAAACCTGTGGCCCCTAGAAATACCAAATGCGGTGCGACATCTGCCTGCGAGATGAGTTCGAAGCGACCTGCACACCTGAGGCATGCTTGGGGCCCACGGAAACCTCCTTGGCCGTGCTCCAGCGCCTTAAGCATCCTCCGGCCTTTCAAGCCTATCCTCTAGGGCCTCTAGGGTTTGGGGTTTAGGGTTCAGGGTTTAGGGTTTAGGGGTTTAGGGCTCAGAGATCTTAAACCCCAAACCCCTTGTAGCAACTCGAGCAGCAACCTTGTGGTAGCCCACTACACTGACCCCGAACGGGATCTACTTTCTAGTGAGAGCCCCCTGCCCCCGGAAGACCACTAAGTAATCTTATTATCCATGTCACTGTTAGTATAGCAATATGATTCTGCCAGTCGCACGGCCCGGAGGCCCCGAAAGGCCCGTCCTTCTCGGAGCCCGAGAGGTCGCCCTCTGCGGTGGCCTTGCTCTCGGAGGCCTCGGCCTTAACAGCCTGGCACAGGATCCTTCAGGGGTTTTTAAGGGTTCAGGGCTTAGGGGTTTAGAGTTTAGAGTCTAGGGTTCAGGGTTTGGGGTTTAGGAGTTTAGGGTTTAGGATAGTACAGTATGAGAGCGCCTAAAATATAGAGTCTACCATAGAGAGTATAGAATATATGATCAGATATGAACATGAAGCATAAAGCACAAAGAACAAGGTGCGTAGTACAATGTACATAGTACATGGTACATAGTAGAGCAGTAGACTAGTATGGCATAGCATAGCGTAGCAAAGCATAGCATAGCCTAGCATGACATAATAAGACATGGCATATTATATCACAGCATATGACAACATCATATATTATGGTATAGCATATTGTGTTCTATGCTACATCATCATATCTGATTGGACTGTACCGTACGGTTCCAATTATGTTGCAGTACATACCATGTTGTCATATGTCATGATTCACTACACCTTATGAATTTCCCTACTGTCACTTCGAAAATTATATTCGTTGCATTATATCTTCCTATTTTGTATGATACTGAATTACCCTATCTCTTGCCTAGAATATATTGAACTTTACTACTTTGTCCTAGAGTATCCCATATCATATCATGCTAGGCTATAGTATACTATGTTACATCATCATATACAGAATTATACTATACTAGTCCTTGCAAATTAGATTTCATTCTACTACACGGACAGATCTTCAACGGCATGGCATGATATAACATAACAGGATGTGATATGTCATGACATGACATGATATGACATGATTCGATATTACATTACGATTCAGAAACTTGGAGTGCTTACCTATGCAACTGGATAACAGCATCCTTATGAACCCTTGCCAAAATCCCCTTATGGTATATAGGGTGCCTTGGTCTGCTCTATCTCCTTCTTGTCAGCTGCGATCTGCATCTGAAGTGACTGCTGCAGCCTTCGGGACTAAGCCATGCTCTGTATCAGATTATCACTAGGAAGGGTTTTAGAGCTTGGTGCTTTCTGAGGGCCCTTTTCCATCTGCGTGTTCAGCATCCGAAACCCTGTTTTGAAACATCTCACCAGCATCCTTCGTTCACCCGCTTCTCACAGACAAGATACTTCTTGTACACCTATATTACTAAAGTTACGATACGATTGTCTTCACTGCAGCCGCTAACGGCTGGTGATATACGGCGACTGGTGGTACCAGGAGCTCACCTGAATGCCTTTTTTTCTCATACTGGTGCCGTAATTCGTCACCGCACACAGAAGGGCCTCCTTAGGCCTCCTCTGTGCTGCAACTGAAGGGTCACTCCGGCAAGTTCATCGTCGGAATTGAATCCATTCTGCCGCAACCGAAGCGCATCTCGTAAAGTTTCAGTCGTTGGAATGGGCCCCTGTTGTGCCGCAACTGACAAGCAGCTCGTGCGTGCGTTATTCAATTTACGTGGTGGCGGCCAGACGTGTCCCGTTCTGGCCACTGCGTTTCATGCAGTCAGCAATGGGCTGAATTGACAACCAGTTGTGCGGGGGCATGTCTTGGATGGCGCATGGAGCGCATGAGTTGTGTGCTGTGGCTGGCTGGGCACTGGCGCGTACGAGCAGCCTTTGGCCACTTTTGGAATGATGAATGTTGGCATTGCATCTGCCATACTTGAGGCCCGACTCTCGTTTGCTGTGGCAAGGGGGAGCGTCACAGCCACTGTCGTGGAGATTTCTTGAGGCATGGGCTGGTTGACAGGAAATGAGATGGCTTCGGAGGCGATCACCGCTGGCTGCGGCACTGGCACTGGTTGCGGCACGAGGTTTGCCATGGGACGTGCGGCCAGATGGAACTGCTGGCCAGGATGCGGGTTCGCCCCCGGGCCTCTCAAAGGAGCCTGCTTTGGGGCTCAGTTGTCTCCTAGAGCTGTAGGGTCTCTTTTGTTGACTGTCGCAGCTGTTGGGCCTTCGGGGGTCTCTACGATTCTGTCGCTGGGGAGCTCAAGGAAGTTAAGGTTGGAGGTTTCAGGGTTCAGGGTTGCATGGCCCACTGCAAGCGGCAAGTGGCAGAAGACGGAACTGAGCACCGTACCCTGCTAACCTCCTGAACCCCACGCCCTACGACAGGCTAAAACCTAGACTGTCTTTAACACAAAATTGCAAGAGCAAAACTAGAATCAAATAAAAGTCCTGGCACATGCTGAAATTGATAATTTGTACAGCCACGTTGTCACTCGCATCACAATCAAAAACGTCAGCTTTACACCTTTTGCCGCGGCATTATCATTGTGACTGTCTCACTCATCTTCATCATCCGTCACGGTTGTTCCTTCTGTCTCTGTTGTCAGTAACCATGCGTTCACCTCGATAATTATTGAAACAGCGATTATCTACATCCTATTCAATCCGACAATATTTACAACCACTCAGCAAAGCTCACGAGAAGAGACAGAGCAGACCAGACATAAAACAGACGACTGGGCAAATGAGTGGAAATGCATATGTCTAGAGAAGCGAAAGCAAGGAGTGAGAATGCCTCAGAAGCACGGCAGCTCACAACTGAAGCACCTCTCACCGCGTGCAATGCTGGGCAACCCTAATGCGAGGCCCCAACATGGCGAAGCTGTGCTGAGCCTTCTTGTCCTTGCTTCGACATGACTGCAGAGGCGCCAAAGTCTTCAGGATTTTCGTCTTTGGAAATCTCGAAGCAGACTGGGCTTGTCTACTATTTACTAGGAATGTTGAGAGCATACACCCACCTGCCTCAAACCCGGAATCTTCCCGCATCGCTCCTCGGAGACCAGGGTGTTCAGATTCTCGCGAGCCTTGGACTTCATGTCCTGGCAAAAGGAGCACCAGGCAACATTACCCTCAGCAGCATCATCACACAACGCTGAGCAACATTTGCAGCCGCTGGCCGATCTATATACATACCGCTACATAAACACAGATGCATGAAGATAAATTTACGACGTACAGAAGGGGAAACACGCAAAGGTCACTCACCTTGCCCCGCAGCGTACAGTACTGGTTGTATATATGAACAAGCATAAACGAATATGAGTACATGATATAGATATACCACCTCAATCCATACTGGTGCACTGGAAGATATCTGCGTACCGACGTCCAGAGATCAACACATGTGTAAATACATAAACACAAGGATCAAAAAATAGATAGATTGCTTCAAAAATTAAGTGACAGTATCTAAGGTCTTATCTATACATAAAGACAAGGATCTGCAAAATGCCGTGCGTCACAACATGCCGCGGCGAATGTGAGACAAGTCTGCACGCACGCGTGAGTCTTTCTGTATACTCGTACTATCATGCAGTATTGTTATTGTTACTGCAATTTCTACTATCCAGTCTGAATCTGACTATGATTCTTATGATGATTGTTGTTGTTATGATTATTACTATTACTCTGTATGAGTATAGTTATTACCCTGATTCGCGGCGATGTGATCCCAAACAGCTTCATCTCAAGTCTTCGAGCTCCGCAGGCACCTCTAGGACGGAGAGGATCCCGCCGCTCTTGGGCCTTTGCTCTGCCGTCTTCTGAGCTGGAGCCCAAGAAGGGTTCAAGGGCTCTAAGCCTGAGAACGGCACTCGTAAGCTGCGACCTCCGGAGCCTGCTTGGTTGCACCTCGCCGATGGCCAAGTCAAGCGAAAGTCAAGTCGCGCAGCAAAGCTTGGCGAAGGCTTTTGCAAAGGCTCTTGTCCAGGCTGCTTGCTCCGCCTCGAACCGAGAGCAAGCGAGTGAGTGGGTATGGCCAGTGCCTCCGACACGGGCCTGCCCACTCGACGGGCCTCAAGGGTGCCGCAGGGCACGCGCACAGAGGTGTGCTGTACAAACCAGGCCCTTCGCAAGAGGCCCTGTACAAGAGAGGCTTCTGTACCATGCTGCCAGCGTAGCTGAGCAGCCCTATGCTGACAGAAGCGAAAACTGAGCATCTCATTTGCCCTGCTTCATCATCATGGAGCGCTTCTTCTGCGTCTTCTGCATCTGGGTCTCCTGAACAGAAAAGACAAGCATCGACGACTCGATCATCCAACCTCTCGTGTTCGTTCACCTGCAACAAGCAGCAGCAATGGCAGCATTCTGATGGTCGGGGTTTTCGAGGGCAGGAGAGTCTGCAGCTTTCTGAGACAGGGCGTCCTCATCCCCGTTGGGCTTCCACAGCCCGCGGTGCAGGACTTCTGCAGCTGCATCATGAACCTGGATTTGAAGTGCGAGGATGGTGCGCTTATCGTCGCTGACGTTACTGCACGCTTCAAGCGAGGACGTTCAAAAGAAGATAAAGATAGGATATGCCAAGGTCTTTCAACAAGGGCTGGCCGGCCTTCTCCCAGCCGTGGAAGCGGCCGCGCTGGCTCAGCGTGCCGACGGCATTCGGGAAGGCATGGTGCACCTGATTTTTAAGCGCTTGTCCTGCTGCAAC